AGCTAGCCAGACTGGTAGCCAACACTGCATCTCGTGGTACTGAATTCCAGAGTTGAACTATGTGTTGTGTAAGAAAAGATTTCCTTTTGTCTGTCCTGTTTCTTCCAGGATTCAATTTCATTGGGTGGCCTCTGATTCTAGTATTTTGGGGAAAAGAGAAAATAGCTTCTCCTTGCCCACTTTGTCCACACCATGCATACTTTTGTACACCTCCATCACATCCCCTCTTGTTTGCCTCCTTCCACGATGCACATAAAAACCAGGTACAGCTTTGGTCTCCTCGTCATGGCCACCATCTTGATTGCTTTGACCATGCTCTGCGGATCCCTCTGTCTGCCCAGCTCTGAAGCACAAGCTTTGGAGAAAGTAGCACCATACTAACTAGTCTTCTTCTGAACAGAAGATGCTTCTGCTATTTTTTGTGGAAGGCACTGGAAGCTAAAGCAAAAATGGAAAAAGGATTTGAGCGGGGCACCCTCCTTCTCTGGATCAGCACCAGCGCCAGGATGTTCAGCTCTTGAAGGGAACTGTCTCATGAAGGGCCACCTCTTCACTTGCCTTTCTGACCTACTGCTGGTAAATCTGTCTCAAGCCCTCCATGCATACTTCTTTTAATTTGCCAAGTAAAATGTGGAAAATAGTTTTCCTCCTGCCTGAGATGAAAGGCTTTACAGTACTTGTTTTGGCAGAAAACGATACAAAAGTTCAAGATGAATTTATTGTTTGGCCCAAAGATGGCAGGGATTAAGCTTGCTATGTTGCTGAAATAGGAGCCTGCTGGGGCACAAGTCACAGAGATCTGGCTAGTTTCCATCTGGAGAAGACTTTTCGTAATGTTCTGATGGTCATTTTCCTGTCTTCCATTTTCTTGACAGCGAAGGAAAAGCAGTGAGTCCCTAATGTTGACGTTGGAGCAGATAAATCAATGCCTTAAAAGTCTTTGTCAAGAACAGTTTTTATTGTTCTAACTGACAGTCCTTTAACAAAATGTCCTAAAACAGGAGCCTATGGCCTTCCTGATGTTTGCTGAACTACAACTCCCAGCAGCCTGGCAAGTGTGACCAATGGTTAGGAATGCTAGAATTGTAGTTCAGCAAGAAGTGGGAAATCACAGGGACTTACCTGGGCCTCAGGACAAGGTGACCTCTTGAAGTGCTATGTTCAAGAGGCTAGCAAGCCACTCCTCTGAAATGGTTTAGCAGATCTTGCCCAGAATGGGGGGTTGGGCTGGATGACCTCAGAGATCCCTTCCAACTCTGTGATTCAGTGCACTTATAATTTGGGCCAGCTGGTTCCTATGGGCTGGAGTTCAAGAAGGTGGCAGGTGGAAAGTGCCCTGGTTCCCAACCCCTGAGGGCCACTTTTACAGGGAGGTGATGGGTTTCTCATTGCTCATTGGACAGGTTCAGGTGAAGGGAGGCTGGATAGCCCTCGGCTGAAATTTAATTTCTAAAGTTGGATTCCTGCATTGAGCACAGAATGGGCTGAATAACTTCAATGGCACCTTTCAGTTCTGGGATTCTGGGATTCCTTCTTAGAAGTTGCTGGCTCTGCCCTCCAAAGTTTGTGTTCTTCCTTCAACACCAAGAGACAGGAAGAAATTTCTTCTGTGCATGAGTGTCTGCAAGGTACGGTAAAAAAGTCAGAATTTTTATTGGTGGAGCTTTGATCACACTGTTGTGACCACCATCTTGACGTCTTTACCCCACTGTGACTTCTGAATGCTGCCTTGGTGTTACCGGAATACTTCCTTGACTTGGGGAGCCAAAGAGTTCAGGAATTTCTTTTCTCAAAACCAAAATGCACTAAACGAAGTGTTAATGGAGCATGTCTCTCATTTTTTCATTCTTGGCTGAAATAATTCAAAGGCAAGAAACTGTGATTACCCTAAAAGCATCTTCACCAAAGTTGAAGCTTATAGATTACCCTAAAATCATCTTCACATAAGCTTATAGATCACCTCTTTCTTCTTGGAGCTGCAACATTTGGCTTGTTTGTGTGGGGCAGGACCCACGCTCTAATCTCTTTCCTTGGTGGTCCTTTCCCCTTAATCTATTGGCTTTTCCCAGACCTCTTTTGGTGTTCATGCACCATTGATAATACTGGTCTCCCTGAACTGTAACCCTGAGTTGTGGGTTATAATGACTTTAAGTGGGTTTTGCAAACCTTTTCCTGTCTTCTCCTTTGATCTGACCTGCTAGAAGGGCATTTGCAGGTGGGGAACGCATGGTCCTCCTCTATTTCTTCTTTTATGAGGAAGCTGATTGGCATACCGTACAAGAGGTTTTTTTTAAAGCCTGATTTTCAGCATGTACCTATGCTGATGCGAAGAACGTCCAGCCTTTCCTGTTTAAGGAAGTACTCAGAAATAGCTGCACAAGGGCAGATGTCTATTTACCCGGCTTAAATGAGGCGGCCTGCATGATCTCCAACTTATCCCACCGTTCCAGGTCTATGCTTAGGGTCCAGGCTGTTCAAAAACCTTCTGTTTCTCCAGGGATAATGCTATGGCTTGATGTACGGCCCTCAACTGCATTATAAAGCCCCCCAGATCCCACACTACATGATCACCCTGCAGCAAAGGCATATTTAAAAAAAGGGAGCCCAGCCTTGAAAGAAAAAGGCTGCAGAGCAGACCTCGCCCTGATTTTAACATGTCTTAAATTGCTTGCCTGTAAATTCCTCTTACTGCAAATAGCACGGCTGAGTTTATGTTGTAATCTGAACAGTCTGAAAGAGGACATGATCATAGTTTTGAACTTATCTACCTTTCTCAAAGATATATAAACCAGAGGCTATTGTTTTTTCTTCAGGTAAAGGATGTAACACCACGTGTGCAGCATTTAAATATAACTAAAAGCTCTTCTTTGTCTCAGGATTATTTGACACAAATGCCAGGATTTACTAAGAAGGGTTTGGGGGCCCCTTGTGGACAAGAGCATATTGGATTGTGACACATTTAAATAACATTGGAGCAAACCATGTTGATCAGACAGACAATTGTCATAGGTCCTACCTGCAAATAAATATCCAAACTTGAAAATATCCTATCACACTTTTTAAATATGTTCATTTTTAAAACATATTTTCCAGAAGAGGATGCAGAAAGGTGTTGGTTGCTTTGTCCGAAGATGGTAAAGCTGGAAGCACATTGCTGATGAAAGAGACCCAAGATAGGGTCTCGCATTTGAAAAGCAGACACCAGAAATTATCCAGACCTCTTCCTAATACTGATTGGGAGACGTTTCTATATACTGAATGCCTTTAATATTCAATTACTATTCGTTAACTTAAATATGAATAACACTGTTATAAAACAAAGCTTATTTTATTAATATACTTTTAATAAAAACTCCCCAAATTCTCACCCTGCAGTTTAACACTGACAGCAGTGTTAAACTGCTGGGTGAGAATTTGGAGTTTTATTGCATTCTGTTTGGGCAAGATTGGACATAGTTTCTTGTTCCATTACAGCTGTTACAGATGGTCCTTGTTTAGCAACTGTCCGCAGTTATGAAGGTGATGAAAAAGTAACTGCGACCAGTCCTCACATTTATACCCTTTTCAGGTCTGTAAAGCAAAGGAAAGCTGAAGTCAGATCCTAAGCACAGTCACGGTTTAACTCAGCAACCACTTCGCTTAACAACCAAGTTGCCGGTCCCAATTGTGGTCACTAAATGAGGACTACCTGTATTGCACTTATCCAATTATTTAAATAAATACTATTACTTACTGCTATTGAAATTTCCACCATTGAATACATTTCAAATTTTCACTAGCTGTACAATTCTCTTAAACCTTAACCAAGATAAAAATGTTCTGTTACACATCTTAGAGTAGAATAACATAGATCGACAGGTGAGTGTGGTGACTGGGCTGATCTTGTTTGCAGGACTTCTTCAATCAAAGTCCAATGGATGTGGCTGACCCCAGATTGGGAAGACTGTTACAGTATATACAACTGAACTTTGCACCAAAGTGTCAGAGATATTACTTATATGATTGCTTATGTGCTATCAGGTTGTTTTTGACTCCTAGCAACCACATCAATAGATTTTCTCCATAATGATCTATCCCTAACCTGGTCTTTCAGGTCTTCCAATGGTGCACTCATCACCACTGTAACTGAGTCCCTCTACCTTGCTGCTGGTTGGCCTCTTCTTCTCTTCCCCAGAAACTTCTCCAGAGAGTTAGAACTTTGCATAATGTGTCCAAAGTAGGATAATTTGAGCCTGGTCATTTGTGCCTTGAGTGACAACTCTGGGTTGATTTGTTCGATGATCCATTGGTTTGCTTTCTTGGCTGTCCATAGTAATCTCAGAAATCTTCTCCAACACCAAGGCTCAAAAGTGTCTATACTCTTTCTATCCTGCTTCTTCAAAGTCCAACTTCCACTTGGTTTTATTTGACCTCACCCATAAAGCTGGGGCAAAGGAGATTAGGGAAATAAGCTATAACTGACAAAAAATTACACTATTATTGCCATACTGTATTAGCAAACCTGTATACTATCTGCATATTTGTTTTAGCCTGACTACCAGGTGTCTGCAGAGGGTGGTCAGAAAGGTCAAGATGGCAGCCACATGCTGTGATAAAAGTTCTGTTGGTTTTATGCGTGATGCAAATGGCTTCGATTGCACTGTCACAGCCACCATCTTGACTTTTCTACCATGCCCTATGGACATCCCTGCTGGTTACGATCATCAAAATCTTCCAAGCCTACTTTTTGGATGAAATGATGAGTTTGGCCAGTACTATGAACTATATGACAGCCAGTTTGGTGTAGAGCTTAAAGGTGCTGGAATAAGAATAGGAGACCTAGGTTCTAGTCTGGTCTTAGGCACAGAAGCCAGCGGGATAACTTTGGGCTGGTCAGTCAAAGTAACCTGAATTTGGCAAAATTCTGCATACGTTAGCAAGTCAGGGGTCTTTAATTTCACATGAAAGACAAACCAGACAGCCATTTTCAATTATAAAATTTAAAACCAAGCATTCAAAGCTCATGGGACGATATGTTCAGTTTTATTCCAAAAATATGTATAAAGATTTAAAATACATAGCATATTGGAAGCAAATATATTTCTCCCTCTTTTCAAGGGATGCCTTCATAAATATTTATTCTGAGTTTCATAAAAATGTTCTCTAGCTCAAGTCCAAATACTGTGTTGATACTTCTTAAAACATATAAATACTATTTACAAATAGGAATTAAAAAAATATTTCAGCCATGCAACATCCTGATAAATCTCAGATATTAACAAATTCATTCAAAACCCCCGAGCCGTATTTCTGCATTCAGATACAGGCATCTTGTTTGCATTTTACAAGGCCTGCTGCAAAAGCAGGTTTAATTTCTCAGCCTCTTCTGGCTGAGGCAGGGCCCACTTCTTCTTGACGTATTTAATGTCTATTATTCCAGATTCTTTGGCAAGTGCTATGCCCAGAACGCCACTTGCTTTTTCAGGCTCACCCAGGACAGCCATTGTTATAACCCTGAAGGCAAAAAACAACGACCTTCTGTTTAATAAGCAGAGAAAAAGACAGCAAAGTCCCCCCTCCCCACATCAGCTCCACTAGGATCAACTGGCATTTGGTTTCTCCCTTCCTCTGCAGAACGGACTAAAAAGCTTTCTGGATGGCCAGAAGGACCATGACACTGGATGGTCAGCTTAGACCAGTGTTTCTCAACCTTGGCAGCTTTTAGATGTGTGGACTTCAATTCCCAGAATTCCCCAGCCAGCTTTTGCTGGCTGGGGAATTCTGGGAA